ACAACCATCTTGTTTCCGACTGTTCTCACAGTCGCAGCAATAAATGGTTATGTCCAATTATATGAAACATCTGGCAACTATAAACAAAACAAAAAAAAAAAACGACGGCAGTCTTAGAATGACAAATGATCATGCATGATATTATCAGTATTTGTTAGGATATTGCGAAATAATTTCTTATTGATTGAAATTCTCACTTCATGAAATATAATAATTATAATGAAAAGAAAAACAAAATAAACTCTTGTATTTATTATCATTATATTATCTGATTACTTACCACCACTTCGTCGATATTTTCTTCCATATCGAACCATTTATCTCTTTTCCTTTTAAATGAATTTTTTTAAAGTGATATCAAATCCGTTTTCTGCATACACTTTGGATTAACATACGTAAATACATATTTTTTTTTACCGTTCTTCATTTCTTCTCATTTTTTTTTTTCTACTAAATGAATACAGGCAATATGAACTATTCGTAGTCATTGATTTTGTTGTTAAATATGAAAAAAAAAAAAAGAAAAGAAAGAACGATAAAAACTAACAGAAAAAAAGCACTTTATTCTAAATGAATGTGTAATTATCATTGGGTTTTATTAAGCTTCATTATGTTCTTTCATTATATTTTCTTATCAAGACAAAAAATATAATAACCGACAGGCGGTCTCATGTATATTCAAAGATTATATTGACATGATAGGTATACATCGTTTACCAGTGTAAAAAAGATGATATAGGCTGAAATGAATATTTATTTTCGAGTTAGAAGAATCTTGATGATTATACGTTTGCCTACCATAATGTATGCTTCAATATCGCTAAGGAAGAAAAAAAAATGTATAAGAAAAACAAAATAATATGTTTAATATTTTTCGTTCTTACGTATCAGATGGAAAGGCTGTTAAAGTTCTGATTAAAATCATCAAAAAAAAAAAAAAAAACAACTAGATTAATACATATTTTTCAAAATAATATTGTTATAAAAGAATTAAAGAAAAATCATTGAAAGAAATTTGTTCAAGCTCATCGAATTTTTTTATCTATTTGATTTATTCTTAAGTACTTCAAAGTTCAATAAATATAGAACGATTTTTTTATGATGTATTATATGATTTATTTCGTTTGATATACTTGCATTATTTTATGATATAGCTTTTCGAAATAATCTAGATCTAGACAAAACGAAGAGAATACACAAAATGGAAACTAGAATATGTTTGAAACAATACGAACACGTTTAGAACTACTCGCTCAAAATAGCAATTAACGTATACAACGCATGAATTTTTACTTTTTTCGTCTGAATCTGGAAATTAAATGTATTATTCATTATGTAGTTGATGATTTGAATGATACCAAGTACATACATTATAGTAATCAAACTATATTTCTTTCTATTTATTATTTTCAAGAAAAAATGAAATTATTTGTTTTCAAAACAAAACGATTACATATTAGATCACAGACTTTATTATGCATCAATCGAGAATATCGTTAATGGCTATATTTGATCATTAGTCAAATTACACTTGTATGATCAAGACTGAATGGTTATCATGATTAATCGAAAATATTACAAAAAAATAAGTAGTTGAGAAAAATAATTGATGAATTATGAATATCTATATGAAACATTTGATCAATTTTTATTTGAAAAGATTTATTAGTAAGAAGGCCATATAGTAAATCATTTTAGTAAATTGTCACTATTTATTATAAAGATATTTGTAAAAGTGAAGAATAATTTCGGTCTCAATGATTACTTGTAAAAAAGAAAAGACAATGAAATAATTCGAAATTGATCAAAAAATTAAATTTTTCTTAAGGAATTAATCAATAATACAAAATTTTGATAGGAAAGAATTTTTCTATCGTTTCTTTAAAAATTGATAAGATTTTTATTAAGATGAATAATGTTTGTCAAATGAATAAGAAATACTTTTTGTTCTGTTTCAATCGATTATTGCATACAAAACACGGTCAAGTACGAACAAACAGAGTTTTCTTTTTATTCATGCTATTAAAGGTATTTATTTACAGTCAAGCTATTAACTTACCTGTTCTGTGAAGTTTTTTTTTTTCACGATGCTGAAAAAGATTCTTATGTTGTCAGAAGAGATTATCGTATATATGTATGAAGGACATTTAACATCTAGAAAAATGCATCTTATCTTACAAAAACATTCCATTGATAGAATTAATTCCAATAATCTATGAAATTGTCAATCTATAGTTTCTTTTCATCATGAATATTATATTTATTGTATTCGTTTTTAATGTATACATTCCTTTTCATTATGAAATTATTATTTTCTAAGAGTTGAAAGAATATAAAGAATTTACATACACCAAGGAAATTGTGTCATAATTTCGTCTGAAATTGAATCAAGTTACATTTCTTTTTGAATATATCAATATACATGATTGAAGACATTTCATGGAGCTTAATATCTATTAAATTTAAACTATTTCTATGAACTAATTATTAACGTGTGGCGTAGAATAAATTAGAATATTTATACTTTGAATACATTCCTAGTAATCTTCTTTTGATCGTGTCACGTATTTTTTTGAATAAAAAAAAATGGCGTTTGAATTTCTCTAAAATACCGTCTATGAAACAGCGGAATTTTGGACTTGAAGTTATTTTGAGTTACTTCAAGTAGTTTACTTTGACATACTTTTCTACTTCAAGTTCGCTGTTTCTCCATTGAATTGGAATCAAAGTATAAATATTCTAATTTATTCTACGCCACACGTTAATAATTAGTTCATAGAAATAGTTTAAATTTAATAGATATTAAGCTCCATGAAATGTCTTCAATCATGTATATTGATATATTCAAAAAGAAATGTAACTTGATTCAATTTCAGACGAAATTNTACTTTGACATACTTTTCTACTTCCAGTCCGCTGTTTCTCCATTGGATTGGAATCAAAACTTATTTTAGATATGCGTGAAAAAAGATGAAAAGTAAAGACGGACAAACAACTAGTTAAAAATAAATATGAAAATATTGGTTCGAGCGGCTAAAATTCGTCATGATTTGACCAAAATGATTTCGTTACAGAGAATTAAATTTTGAATAAAAATGGTCAACAATATTAGCTCTATTAATTTGCTACATCAGCCAGGTCGTCTAAGCACAGTTCGAACAAAAGTAAATCCATTGCTATCAAATAAAGATCTTGATTATTTTCCATAAGAAAAGGTCAAGGAGTCAGTTGTGACTGATCTGCACAATAAGAGCAGGCTAATTCTAGAAGCTAGGTGTTAGCAGAATTTTTTAAGGCTCATAGCATTACCTCAATGAAAAGTGGTGTACAAGGCATTTTTGTGCAATTATACCGAAGAATTATTAGTCACTAAATCTGCCTGATTGAGATTCGTTAGGTTACAGTTTATGAAATGAATTGAAATCATATAGCAACAAAAACAATTTTTATAGACAAAATAAAAAGTTCTGTCAAAAAAATGTTCAATTCTTTACTTAGTTCTATTGTACGATTATATTTAATCAAACATAAAAAACTATATTCGTTAAGTCAAGTTTTCGATTCTGTGCAGAATTTGAAGAGCTCTTTTTTGATAGAAAGAAGTGTTTTAATCTAATGAAGAATTCAAAGAGAAATATTAAAAATACAAACAGTCTAATTTATTCTGTACAACTCGTTCCTATTCATGATAGGAATTTCAAATTTAGTTCAACAATTCAGAAAAGAGGAATATAATAAATTCAGGTCAATTCTCAAATTGTCTAAATTTCCATGCTTGCTTTTCTTTTTATTAACGATTGAAACATTTTGTTCAAATGATCTGAATAAAATAATTGAAAAAAAAGTCAATCATGCCGTAATAGTTAAAAGTCTTTATTCCACTGCGTTTCAGGTAACATGTATTGGCGGTCTAAAAAAAATTGTGCATGCATACTCCACCAACACTATTGTTCTTTTGAACTTCGTAACTCTGAAATGAAAGAGCTTTGTCTATCAGTCAATTGCTCATTATGTGATGCTACTTTTTAGCTCTCTGCGCTATTGATTTGATTGAAGTTCATCAATCCATTTGAGAATTGTAGCCAATTTACCTCAACTTATAAGGCAACTTTCCCAATAGTTGAACATAGTCCTCTATAAATCTCAGAAAAGGTTCATGAGCTAAAACGAAATCGCATGCCGATGATCATCTCATTGATAGATATAGCAATCTTCTCATCTTTTAGGTAAACAACAACCATAGACGAAACTCTAACTGTATGCTAATACATCAAGAACTAGCGATGTAATTGTTAAAAAAACAAACCGAAACAGTATTTTTCAGGTTAAAAAGTCATTAGAAAAAATAGCTACAGTTCATCATAATTTTCTTTGTACTGAAGCAATCGTAGTGCAGTTTTGCAGTTGATCTGCATTAGCGATAGGATATACATGCACAATATTTTCATATCTTCTATGTGTATAATATCTAGGATCTGTGACGGAAATGCAGACTTATGTCAACTACTGTAAGTTTTGAGAATTTTCCGTTATCTAAAGAATGTATTTGTTTTTTATTTAAATGCTGTAAACACAACAAGCTTTGCTATGTTAAATTTCTTAAAAACTTTTTTCGTTAAATGAACTACTTTTTTATTGTATCATGTTTCATTTATTCAATAAATATTCGTTATAGTATTCATTCGAAGAATGAAATCAATTTTTCGTTAAAAATTAATGAAATAAAAATCTAATTAAATTGATTATACTTGGTTACAATGTGGAAAGTCATTTATTCATTTTATATAAAGTAACTGTAGTAGTAAAATGACAAAAAAAAAAGATAACAATAAATAAATTTAGATGTACTTTTATCGAACTAAAGTCACAAGAAGAATGTAATAAGTATAATATACACTCTCCTATATTCTTGCTTAATAAGTCAACAAAATCTCAGGTAGATAACAAACATTGTTTACTTCAGTTCATTTTTTTTTATCTACGAAAAGTACACACTAGACATGGGCTCGATGTTGAATAGACAACATATTAATGAAAATTTAGAATTAAACAATTTAATTAACGCAACAAGATCAAAATCAGTCATTGAAAATCAAGATGATTTTGAAGAATGTATTCTTGTCTGGCTTGATCCAACTCTTAAATATACAGATGATTGGACTAAAGAATTTGATCGTGCTCGAGAAATAATAAATAATTTAAAAACATTTGATAATCTTAATGATTGTATTAATTTTATGAAAATGGTTGTTAATGATAAAATTTTTCTTATTGTTTCACAGTAAGATTTATTTAGATGATTTGATTATATTTTTATTTGATTTTCTATTATAGTCAATATGTTCATTTCATTTGTTCCATTAAATCTGAACTTCGTTCTCTATCATCTATCTATGTTTATTATGATTTGAGTCTTAATTCAATAAAACGAATACAATTAGAAACTTGGGCTAAACATAATGAACCATTAATAACAGGTGTTTATTCAAGTTCAACAGATTGTTTTGCACAATTAACAAAAGATGTTAATGATATATGTGATTATAATTCAATTCCTGCAACATATTTAAATCTACAAACAAAAAATTTAAATTTAAAACAAGCAAGTTCATTTCTTATATTTCATTTATTTTTGCAAAATCTTCTTTCTCATTTATCATCATCTAAAAATATTCAAGACAGACAACGAATATTTCGTTCATGTCTTTATTATTATCGTAATAATAATAAACGTATAGATGAAATTCATCATTTTGAACAACATTATAATTCTCAATCGGCTATTGATTGGTATTTAAGAACAAAATTTCTTTCACGTCTTTTACATAAATCTAGTCGAACACTAAATTTTGCACTTTTATTTGATTATAGTTTTATTTTTAATGATATACAATATTTAATAAATGAAAATACATCAATATCTTTAGATACACAACAAACAGACATATATTATCGTGCACAAAATATAAATACTGATGATTTATATCGTTTACGTATGAATTTAAATAGTATTATATCAATAAATCGTTATCTTGATCTTTGTAAAAATGCTGAAGAAGCTGTTAATGAAGTTTTATTAACATCTAATACACTTGAAACTGTTTTATATCATTTTTCAATAAATCATTCATATAAATCAATATCAAATAAAAAAGTTCTTTTATCAATTGGTTCATTATTTCGTATACATCATATTGGAATGGAAATCGATGGTATATGGCATGTACATTTAAATCAATTGACAAAAGATGATATTAATGAAAAAATAGATATATTAATGAATGAAATTGATTTTATTCCACATCCATATTTATCTATTGGTCTTATTTGGGATAAAATAAAACAATCAACTAAAGCTGATAGATTTTATCGTTTACTTATTACAAATTTACCAAATTCTAATGATGAAACAGCACTTATATGTAATTATGTTGGAGCTATATTTCGTTCAAAATGTCAATATACATTAGCATTAAATTATCATCAAAAAGCATTAACATTTTATCAAGAAAAAAATCGAATAAATTCTTCATTTAATGATGATATTGATCGTACATATGCACAAATAGCACTTGTTTATAGAGATATGGGAGATATATTAACTGCTATTCAATATTTTAAATTAGCTATTAAACAAGGTGAAGAAGTTTTTAATGATCTTGGAGAAATTTATCGAAATTTGGGACAATTTAATATTGCACAAAAATATTATGAACAAGCTAAAATAGAAAATAATATAGGACTTTGTTATATATATCAACGAATGTTTTCACAAGCATTATCTCATTTAAAAAAAGAAACTGAATCAATGTCATATATAAATTTAGGTGTTTATCATCAATTACAAAAAGAATATAGTACAGCATTAATTTTTTTTGAAAAAGCATTAGAAGCTGTTAAAAATCATCCATTAGATACAGCTATGATACATTCTTATCTTGGTCTTTTACATTGTGATCGACGACAATGGTTATTATCATTAAGACATTATGAACAAGCACTTGATTTATATAAACGTCATTTATCAACAGGTAACCATCCAACAATTGCACTTATTCATGATGGTCTTGGAACATTATATTTAAATAAAGGTGAATATAGAGCAGCACAACGTGAATTTGAACGTTGTTTAGAATTACAATTATGTTTATTACCATCAAAACATCCCGATATAGCTGGAACATATAATAATTTAGGTGGTGTTTTTAATGAAATGGGTCATTATGAAGAAGCATTATTATATCATTATGAAGCTCTTGCTATAGCTACAGCAACATTACCAGTTGATCATTTTGATATAAAATTATATGAACATAATATAACTGAAACAAAACGAAAACTTTCATATAATTAAAATCAATATATGTATATAAATATATAAATTATATTCTTTTTATAGTTTTTATCAGTCTATTCGATAAAAGAAGAATCATTTTATCTGACAATTCTGTCAAAATTTTGTAATTTGTATGGTTTTTGTTGATAGTTTATTTCAGTTTTTTTTCTCGTTTTGTTTTTACAAAATATTTTCATTTTCATGTACGATTTATCCATAAAATATTACACTGAGAGTAACATCTACGATTGATATAATTTTGGTCACTAGATTGTTCGTTACAAGTGTGTGTTGTAAGTGAGGGTCTCTTGTGTACTCCTATCCGTACAACCGCTCCACAGTTGCAACCAGTGGTAGAAGTTCCATTCGTTTAGCAAAAAATGATGGTTCTACCACTGGTTTTAACCGGACCGAACGGATTAAAATGGTTGGAAAATATTATATAGATATGTTATTTTTCTATAATAAAATTTGTTGAGAGCAAGTTTGTTTTTTATTATTAAAATACTCAAACAATATTGTTTGAAGAACTATTAGTTTTATTTTCTTCTGTTTCTTCTATATTATTTTATTTCTTTGATCCAAATATATTTCATTTTTTAAAAAGAACAATAAAAACTGTGTTCCTTGAAGTAAATTGTTTTTTCCTGAAGATCAAATTTAGGCCTGTCTGAAAAGATTTAGCAATCAGTTTAAGGATAAATGACTCATTTTTTTTCGCACCATATATAGAAATATCACATATTCCTCTTTGAGAAACAACAGATATAAACGACTATAATATGAGAATTTCGGAGATTTGTAAGACCTAAATGCAAAGAAGGAAAATGAATGTTTTTTTTTTCAAGCTATTCTTATTAACCATTTAATAACGGTCCAACAAATTGGCCACTTTTTATCGTATAAAAAGATTTTTGGAACTCGACCAATTACAATTCTGACCTACTTTTATCCACCCACTTTCGATACTTCGAGACGAATATGTCATACGACGAATTGTCCTAGTGCCATCATTTTAACTTACAGAACTTTATTCCCAAAAAAAGAACTTAATCTCAAAATCAATTTTAACTGAATAGAGTGTAGGATTAAAGAAAGATTTATTATTTGAAAAAAAAATTAAATCAAATATAGATAATAAACTAGAATTACAACATGAGTCTTTTCTTTGATTGATAAAATTTTTCCTGATATTTTTATGATAAGACAAGAATTGAATATCAAATAAATTATCATCAAACATAATCTTTTCATTGTCACACACACATTGCTAATGCTATGATATTATTAAACATTTGTCATCATATCAAAGGGAAATTTAAAATTTATTTAGAAAAAAAGAAGTTATTATATGCTATTGTAATTGCACAAAATTATTAATTGAAAGGATAAATAAAATCAAATAAAAAAAAAAAGAAGGTTGATAATGATAGATGGTACATCATTAAAATAGGACAATAGGATATATGATTCACGTGCAATTCTGATAGTAAAAACAAACCATTAAAAACTTTTTTATAGATGTATATGCTCGATTTATTAGTTTGTTCATTGATTGTATCCATTTAAAAGCATTTACGATGAACAATTGATGGACCAGCTTCATCGTATTCTTGTTTTGAAATCCACATTTGTTGAAATGTTGATAACGAAGCCAAAATTGAACCACCAATCCATACGGAATATTTACGTTCAGGTGGTGCAATGATTTTAATTTTCATTGTTGATGGTGCTAAGGCTGTTATTTCTTTTTGCATACGATCAGCAATACCAGGATACATTGAAGTACCTAATTTAGAATTATTTATATTAGAAAAAAATAAATAAATATTTATTGATTTCTTTTTTTTTGTTGTTTTCTTTATTTACCTCCTGATAAGACTGTGTTAGCATATAAATCTTTACGAATATCAATATCGCATTTCATGATTGAATTGAATGTTGTTTCATGAATACCAGCAACTTCCATACCCTGTAATTATTCATTAATAATTAAAACAAAAAATAAAAATAAAAACAAAAAATTTTTTACCAAAAATGATGGTTGAAAGAGTGATTCTGGACAACGGAAACGTTCATTACCAATGGTAATAACTTGACCATCAGGTAATTCATAGCTTTTTTCTAATGAGGATGTTGATGCAGCTGTTGCCATTTCTTGTTCAAAATCTAATGCAACATAACATAATTTTTCTTTGATATCCCGGACAATTTCACGTTCAGCTGTTGTTACAAATGAATAACCACGTTCAGTAAGAATTTTCATTAAATAATCAGTTAAATCACGACCAGCCAAATCAAGACGAAGAATAGCATGAGGTAAAGCATAACCTTCATAGATGGGTACATCGTGTGTAACACCATCACCTGAATCAAGAACAATACCAGTTGTACGACCACTAGCATAAAGTGAAAGTACAGCTTGAATGGCAACATACATAGCTAGACAAAACAAACAAAAAACATAAGACAAAGTCAATTATGATATTTTAAATATTAGAAAAACAAAAAAATTTACCTGGTGAATTGAATGTTTCAAACATGATTTGTGTCATTTTTTCACGATTAGCTTTTGGATTGAGTGGAGCTTCAGTAAGGAGAACAGGGTGTTCTTCTGGTGCAACACGAAGTTCATTGTAGAAAGTATGATGCCAGATTTTTTCAATATCATCCCAATTGGTAATAATACCATGTTCAATTGGATATTTGAGTGTTAAAATACCACGTTTTGATTGAGCTTCATCACCGACATATGAATCTTTTTGACCCATACCAACCATAACAGCTTGATGACGTGGTCGACCAACAACTGATGGAAATACTGATCGAGGAGCATCATCACCAGCAAAGCCAGCTTTGCACATACCTATTTATTTGAAATAGAAAATTATTTTAATAAATTTTCATATTAGTTTTCTTTTCTTAAAAAACTATTTTACCTGATCCATTGTCAATTACAATTGCAGCAACGTCTTCGTCACACATGATTATTTCTTATAAAACGGTTAAGATGATGATAGTAATGTGGATTTGTATTCGTCTCCGCTACTCAGATTGTCCGTGAAAAGAACGACAACCGCTATATCTTCTTGACTATATAGATGTATACCGAAATAGGCTTTTCTTCTTTCCTGTATTCTTCTTTGCTATTTTGCTTTTTTCTTAGATATACACATCAGTCGATACCAAATCGGGTAATACACATCGTTATGACAACGGGCGGTCGAAAGAAAAAAAAAGCATACATATAGATAGTAATCGTTTCCTTCTTTTTTATTCTATATATTTGTACCAGTAGTATTTTAGATATTTTCAGACGTAGATGATACCATATGGAATATAGGCACGATTATACATGTATTGATTATATTCTTCATTTTAGGAAAATAATACTACTGTTCGACGTTACTATTAACATGTAGCAAAACGAGAAGAAGAAAAAGAATAGAGATGCATTAATGTCTTCAAATAGATGAAACTACATCTAAGGAAAAGCAACAATATCCAAGAAAAGAAATAACAATGTTGAAGGATACTATACTATCATATTTATTCTTGATCGAGGTTCACATCCAGTTTCTTCTAAACACATTTGTCTATTGACAAACATTGTGTAACTAAAAACCTTAAGTCTTTTTTTCCAAGTACATATTATTGATACATAACAAGACTGATTTATTGATCATCAATACAAAGAAGAAAAAAAAAAGAAAAACTATGATTGAATAGCTTGTGATGCGATAGACATATGCATATATATATATATATATATTAATACTAAATAAATGTACTCAGTTTCTTGTCATTTATTTTCTTACATAAAATTTATAGCTTTGTATACTTATTATGAATAGAACATTATAAATTTTATACTCCAATATAATATGTCTTTGATTATTATTCTAAATCAATAGGCAATCAGTGTTGACAGATCAACAGTAACTAACGCATTAAGGCAACAGAATATTTATTTCACTATAACAGAAAACCAAACATCGAATATTAGTTGATATAGATAATGAAATAATTAAATTTACTGTTAATGATAATGTTGAAAAATATACATGTGAAGAAAAAATACATTATAGAATCTCAACAAATCCTAATGATTTATCATATTCATAATGTTTTTTTTTTTTTCTAAAAATAATTTACTTATTACAAATACAATAGAATACTGATAATTCACAATGGTAAATTTATGGCATCATTTGATCATAACAATACACATGATTGGAAGTTTTATTGTTGATAATGATCAAACTTATAAGGTTCAGCGAGTCAAGTTATTTTTGTCACGACATCTTATTCCTAGTTTTTATGCACAAAAGAGAAATATAATAAGAGTAATTCTTCATAAAATAAAATGACACACCGACAATAGCCTTATCAACAAAGTAAAAGTACGGTAAAACTTCTCTAATGTGAACACTGTCGAAACTATTGAAATGCACTCACTATATGAAGGTCTTCAGTTTAGAGATTTGACGCATTGTTTGCTGTGAAATGAAGAAACAAAAAATTTCAAAATACTTACTTCTACAATAGTCTTAGATAAAAGTCTAGTTATTTAGACTCTTGTTCGTCTATTTTCATTCCAAGGATTAGAATTGAGAGATCTCTCAATAACAAAACAAAGTTTAATATTCTGTTCACATAAGATTATCACATTTTATCCCTTAGTATCTGATGTTGTTATTAGACGTTCACATTTATTGAACGCAATTGTATCTTTACCTATATCAATAATTCTCATACATCAAGTCTACATACTCGTAGTGCATAAGAAACAGGTTATAAGCAATTGAAAGAAATCAAAATTCCCATTGCACATACGTTCACTTGAAAGAAGTTATAATATCAAGAGGAACTACAAAAGAGCGTTCACTGTTTATAATAGGGAGATGTTCACACTAGACAGATGTATTTCTAGTAAAAATGCTTCGAAGAACCTGAGATCGTTCTTAATTAGGTGATATTCAATAGTAGAGGTTTTATTGCAGAAAAATCAACTCTACCCGTTCGTACAATTTCACAAGAGAGTAAAATATCTGCTTTTTTTAGAGCAAAAACCTAAATTTAAAATTGTTTACAAGCAAAAAACTGCTGGCACAATCCCTGCGCGATTAAAATGTAAAACATTACGCAGTTGTGGTTGCTAATCAAACGAAGATTGTTTCATTCTTTCTATTTTGGGATACATTTCTACACCATCCATTTACTTTATCCTTCGAGGATGCAATAGGAAAGTAGTTTATATACTATAACGAGACATTATTCATGTACGGTCTGTGATGGGTTCTCAAGGTGTCTGTCATAGTTTGCGTGGGGGGGAGGGGGGAAGGAGTAGTTCCAAATTTCCATCCGATATATTTCAACACTCTCTTCAAGTTATGTTTCACAAAATATCTACTAACATTTAAATTAATGTCGTATTTGTACTTCAACAATGTTAAAATGTAAATATTATCCTGTGAAAACTTTGAGAAATACAATCTTACTAAAAAATCACTTTAAGAAAACACACATGCAGTTGGCATTACTGTAACAGAAACATCCATGATTTTTTTTCAGCAAACTTATTAAGAGATTGATATGAAATAAGAGTTTTGATATTGAATTCTCACCTTGTTGCTTTTTGAAATAAATGACGTGAACTCACCCGTCCATGGAAACTTATTCTATAAACTTGCTTGTTTCTAATTATATTCGTTTTTTTTTTGTCTTTTTTTATTTGCAAAAAAGTTGAATAAATTTCGATATGAATAGTAACCTAGATAGAATTAATAGATAGAAAAAAAAAAAGAAATTTTTCATTTGTATACTACTATTTCATAACTATTTATTTTTCTTAATCGAATAACTGCGATAATAATTTGAATATATATAATTCAATCGAGTTATGTTACTTATTCAACAATCACCAACATTTCGTGCTTGGACAAGTCAAGCATTGATGTTATATTTTCGTCGTGCACTACTTTTTCTTATTGTTAGTCAACGTCAAAATATGAATAATAATAATAATGATCATTGTTTATTACAACAAATAGTTTACTTTAATGATACTAAAGATGATGAAAATAAATTAATGATTGATGAACAGAAACAAATTAAAATATCATTAAATAATCAAAATCAAAATCAATTTAATCGATTACAAATGAGTCAATCAAAACGTAATTTATTAAAAGAATATATTTTAAAAAGATTATCTCAAGGTTTAAATAATTCAATGATAAAATCCATAGAAAAACAAAAATATGCTTCTCCATTAGTAAAATCAATTAATAAATCTTCTACAAATCAGTCATCACAAATATTCAATTCAGTAGAATTATCTAAATTAAATTCATCTGAATTGTCTAATTCAGTTTCAATTAAATCTATAAATAATATAAACACTAATGCAAGTAGAATACACAATGATTTTATCAATCAATATCAAACAAATCCTTTATTTTCATCATGTCAACCGATTTCTTTTGATAATTATGATCAAGTTAATATTTTCCCACCATATAACCCTCATTTTAATTGTAGAAACTCAATAGCATTCTATCCGGTTAGTCTTATTTATAAAAAAAAAAACAAAAAAGCAAAACTAAAAGCATTTTATATTTAATTCTACAGTCTTGTTCACCTTGTCAATCATCATTTTCTCTATGTAATTCATCTAATAATGAAACTTTATCTTCTACATCATCAAATCAATCATTAATATCAAAATCTTCTACTGAAAATTTCTCAATTTTAAATCAACAAAATTGTTCTCAAGTATTTGATAATAAAAATGATATTTATGAAAAATATCAAACTTCATTTTCACATATTCTTCATCAAACAAAAAGTCTTCATACAATTCGAAAAGAAGATAAACTACAATCTATGTTAATACTTGAACCAAATACATCAATTATTACTGTTCGTCAATTAACATATCATCAATTCAATCCAAATAATAACAATCATACAATCACAACAAGTTATGTATGTGTTCGATTAATTGCTCATCGAACAAATTTAACAATTCAATGTAATACTAAACCAATGAAATGTAAGCAAACTTTTAGTTGTTTACCTATGAAATATTTACAAAAACCATTGATGAATCATATGATCAAATCAACATTGATTAATAATGAACAACAAGAAAAATCTCATTTAAATAATTCACCAATGAATTTCAGAGATCAATTTAATAAACAACAATCATCAAAATTTTTCAATAAAAACTTTGAAGCAATGTCAATTTTGTAAGTTACTAATCAGAGAACATCACAGAACATGTGTTCTGAAGGAGCAGAACAATCATTGTTAGAATGAAGACTTGAGAAGTAATATTTGATTCCTGCAGGACACCCAAATCATCTAATTGATTGCGATTCAATGAAGTTCTGATCTAGTAGTGAAACTCGTCATGATTTTTCATTATTATCAATAAGTAGCCAGAAAAAAAACATATCATACTAGCGAGTAGTGCTCCAACAAAAAGATTATTTTGCGTAGCCAGATTGACATTGACTGAAAGACGAATGTGTTTATCACCAAATCAAATTAACAACATTATTTATTTGTTCGTATGAGAGATTTAAGAAAAACTTATCCTTAAGCGTTATCCGTCTGTTTATATTCAGTACATTTTGAATCCTATATTTTTATGTTTGTTTTATTATTGTTTTGCTCATCTTATAGATCGCAAGTTCTTTTTTTTTTCTTCTATTTTTCATTTCATTTCAGTTGCAAAACATTACAACAGGTTTTTTAACAT